ACATATATATAAAGATGTTAGACATACCTTCAGACATATTACATTTTTTTCCTCCAAATTTTTGGGTGTTTTTGTTTTTCCTTGTTGTATATCGATGGGGTGGTTGAGAAGTTGAATTTTGTGTTGTTTACTTGAGTTTTACTTGTCATTTATTCTCTGTTCTTGTGGGGAATAGAGGAATAATTTCTGCCCGCTGGCCATCTGGGATTCTACTTACAGACTTTCTAACTCCATAGTTTAAAGTCTGTGCACTGCAGACAAAGAGCTCTGTGCTGAGTGCCTCTCCTACCCCCCACCTGCTGTTTAGAGCATTCACATGTAGATGGAGCAGCACCATTCTACCCTCCAGCCTCACCTATGTTCAGAGGTTCGAATGAAAGATTGTCCTTTCCTGCTACCCTCTAGCTCTCCAGATTGTAAACACCACCACCTCTCTTTCTTCTATTTAGGACTTCAGAGAGTAGGAGTAAAAACGAGATGATACCCTTGAAAAACCAGCACCTTCTCTATGTATGCAGAGCCTGGAAAGCACATTTTGGGGAATTATCTGTCAGACAATCAGAACTTTCAGCAAACAACACATGAACCAATACAATTCATATTTAACTCTTACATTTAAAAAAATGTTCCTAATTAAATTTATTGGGGTGACGTTGTTTAATAAGACTATAGGTCTCACGTGTTTGCCGTTACATACATTGAATGAAATACTTTTTGTACTTAATTATTTGTTCTACACTTTTTTTTTTTAAAGATTTTACTGGGGAATTGGGGGAGGGGAACAGAGTTGGGGAATTGGGGAAGGAAACCAGCCAAGTTGTTGTTCTTCAATTTTCGTTGTGGAGGGCACCTGTCGCCATCTGGCTTCCTGACAGCAGCTTGTGGCCTCTAAGCTCAAAGTGCTGTGTTCAGTCTTAGTTGCGGGTGGGCGTAGCCACCATCCCATGCAGGAGTCGAACCAGCAGCCTTGTTGTTAAGAGCACACGCTGTATCCACTGAGCCATCCAGGTGGCAGTTCAGCTCAAGGGACCGAGTTCAGTCTTAGTGGCGGGTAGGTGTAGCCCTTCGTGGAACAGGCAATCTTCTTGTTACACCAGCTAAGCTATCCTGCCAACATTTGGCAGCTCAGCGACAGCTCAGCTCGGGCTCAGCGTCACTGGCCCATGTGAGAATCCAACCGGCAGCCCTGTTGCTCAGAGCTCGGGCTTTTAAGCCAACTCTTAACTAACTGAGCCACTCAGGCGGCCCAAGACCTTTTTTTTCTTTTTTTTTTAATTGTAACCAGATTAGTGGATATTTCTAAAACACTTCTGTTATAATGATGGGTTAGATATATTTTATCATTGTAAAATGTAAAAATAATATATTTTTGCAGAACATCATTCAGTCATGATGTAGCAGGCTACTTTTAATAGAATTCTTGTTTGAGGAATATATTATATAAAGGTAACATAAATATAAATAAGGTTAAGCTTTACTATAGCCTTTGCTAAACATTACTAAACACTGTGTATACCCAATCTATAATATGTGAAAACTGAGGAGTTACTATTGTAGGCATTCATTGTCATTCTGTGCTACTTATGTCCAAAATAATGGTAAATATTTCTTTTAAAGTCCTTTGGTGACATAACTTTAACAATATGCTCACTATTTTTTAAAAGAGAAAATTTCAAAGATAATAGGCTAGAATTATATTTAATCATTTTAGTATATTAAAATATAACAATGGTTTATACTTATAATCTAATAGACTTGTTTCCAAATGGAAAACAACTTTGCTGAATGCATATATTAAATAAATTTGTAATAACATTTATGATTTGAAAATGCTGTAAAATGTCCAGTTGCTTTTGAGGCTTACAGTGACTATATTTAGGGACAAACATTTAGGATTTTTGTTTATAGGAGTGCAATGAGCTTATTGTGGCTGCATATGTCACAAAAAAAGAAGATGAGACTCCTCTGGCAATGTGTCATATTGCCAGAATCATTGTTAAGATTTTGATTGGCCCAGCAATTGAGAAGTTCTAGACCAGCGGTTCTCAACCTGTGGGTCGCGACCCCTTTGGGGGTTGAATGACCCTTTCACAGGGGTCACTGGGTACTTGTATGTGGGCGTATCTGCATGTGGGCCTGGAGACAGATAGAGGAGCGGTGTCTTGCTTCCTAAGATCATCAAAAATATGTGTTTTCTGATGGTCTTAGGTGACCCCTGTGAAAGGTTGAGAACCACTGGTCTAGACGCTATGGCTAGAGAAGATTATAGCTTTGGGGAAGTGGAAATGCATACGAGGGCTAAATGCATGGTTTATATATTATTTTGTATGTACTGAACATTATATAATAAAATAATGTAAGAAACCCTTTTTGCTAAATTCATAGGAACTGAATGGTATTATTACCTTAATTTCACTTCTTGATTACTACTGGTTGTAAACATTTTTTTCATATTTTAATCTGAATGTTATTCTTGGGGAATTGCTATTGATTGATGCTATTTGCCCATTTTTCAATCTATGTAGCTCTCTTTTTATTTTGGAGTTGCAAAAATTATTTATTAATAATTATGTTAACCCATGTACTATTTTATTGGTAGGAAATTGTGTTTTTAAGTTTATCTTCATTTTGTTTTTGCATATTTAAAATTTTTAGTGTTTTTTAATTTTCTTTTTTTTTTTTTTTTTTTTTTTTTTTAAGATTTTTATTGGGGAATTGGGGGGATGGGAACAGTGCTGGGGAATTGGGGAAAGGGGAACAGACAAGTTGCTGTCGTTTTGTTCTTCAATCTAGTTGTGGAGGATGTTGCTTCACTGGCCCAAGTTGGCACCATCATTGCGCTCTTCTCTGGCGAGGCAGATCAGTCGCCGGCTTCTGGACGGCCGCTCACTGCGGCTGCTGGCCGCTCACGCTGGCTGCTGGCTACACACGGTAGCCCATGGCAATCCACTGCCACAGGGACTGCAGCCCACGCCGTCGCCAGCGACTCAAGGCAGCCCAGCTCCAGGTTGAGCTGTTGTTCAGCATCTTAGCTGTAGAGGGCAGTGTCACTGGCCCTCATATGTGGGATCCGAACCGGGGCCCTCTGGCATCCCAAGCGAGTTCTTAACCATCGCGCCACTCGGCCGGCCCTTAATTTTCTTTTTTATGATTATAAAATAAATATGTCATCACTGCAAAAAATCCAAAAGCTAAATTAAAAAACCCCTAAAGTATAAATAAAGATTATTTTAACCCTTTCTTCCCAATTAACTGTTAACATTGTGGTGCATGTCCTTCATAAACACACACACACACACACACACACACACACACACACACACATACACACACACGAGGTCTGACAATTACGTTCTCACACTCATCCTAGAAAAAGTGCTACACACCTCATTGCTGAATATCACTACAATCACCTTTGAAGTACTCCCCTTGGGAAGCTATGCACTGATACCAATCCACCCTTCAAAGCAATTTTGGAACTCTTTTTCTGGAATGGCCATCAGCTATCATTGTATTACCCTTGATGTCCTGAACGTCATCAAAATGTCTTCCTTTCAATATTTCCTTTATCTTTGGGTAAAGAAAGAAGTCTCTGGGGGCCAGATCAGGTGAGTAGGGAGAGTGTTCCAATACAGTTATTTGTTTACTGGCTAAAAACTCCTTCACAGACAGTGCCGTGTGAGCTGGTGCATTGTCATGATGCAAAAGCCATGGATTGTTGGCGAAAAGTTCAGGTCATCTAACTTTTTCATACAGCCTTTTCAGCACTTCCAAATAGTAAACTTGGTTAACTGTTTGTCCAGTTTGTACAAATTCATAATAAATAATCCCTCTGATATCAAAAAAGGTTAGCAACATCATTGCAACAAGTTAGCTAACTTAATTGTCAGACCTCGTGTGTGTGTGTATACACACACATATAAATATATGCAATATATATATATATATATATATATATATATATATATATATATATAGCACACATACATATATATACACATTTATGTATGTGTGTGTATATATATAATGTGTAAAAGTATATATACATGCACGGTTTTACTAAAAGGAGATTATTTTTTCTTTGCCTTATAGAATACATTTCCCCCCATTAAATATAGTTTTACACCATCAGTTAAAAATATTTAAATTGTATTCCATTATATACATATGCTAATCATTCATTCAATAAATATTTATTGAGCCCCTTAATAATGCTGCATTGCAGCATCATTTTATAGGCATTGGGAACAAAGCAACGTGAAAAACTCTTGCAGAGGTGGAGTTTGAATGTTATTGGTGAAAATACACAGTAAACAGATAAATATTTCATATAAGATAATCATAAGTACTAGGAAGAAAAACATAAGAAAGGAAGAAGATAGAGAGTAATAGGTTGGCATGAAGTAATAGGGTACTCCAGGAAGGCCTCATAAATGAGCAGGAACATACCTGAAGTATGGGAGCCCACCCTACCAATATTTAGGGCAAAATCATTTGAGGTAAGAGAAAAAACAAATGTCAAGTCCACAAGGTGAGCCTTTAAACAAATCAAAGCAATTTGATGCTGGTTAACATTTAGGTTTGGAGTGACTATACTGTTAAAGACTTCCAAAATTCTTGCAGGTATTATAACTATTCTCGTTAATTTTCAAAACTACTTCTTCCCTGTTATATGTCTTTGTGGCTGTCTTTTTAGGAAGAGGTGAAACTTAATGTGATGCCACGTTACTCCATGGCCTAATTTATATTGTTTTAGATGAAAAATAAAGTTTTAGAAAGGAAAAAAAAGCATTTAAAGGCTATCAGAATATAGAATGTTTATTTAGTGGGGAATTTTTATAGCTAAAAAAAATATTGAAATGACTTCCTTTAGTTGTACTGCTACTTAACAATTTCTGTTTATGTCATTTTAATATCATGGACCATTAATAAAATCACTTAGAAAATAAGAACTTTGACACATAGTGTTTTGTTTTGTTTTGTTTTTTAATTTTCCTTAGGTGGCTGACGCCAAGTCTTTCTCAGGTCCTTATAATGTCTTGCCTGTGAAGACAAAATGGAGTAACATTGGCTTTCATATCCTATTATTTGACCTGGAAAACCTTGTTGAACTTCTGCTGCCGACTCCAACCTGTGATAGTGACCATTCCAATTCATTCTATGGTAGTGAGATCCTGAGAAGAGCCAGAAGCACAGTAGAGAAGAAAACACTGACACTGAAAAGAAATAAAACTGCCTGTGGTCCTCTCTCAGCAGAGGCACAAGCCAAGCCTATCAGTGAAAGCTCAGCCCAAGGAGATAATTCCATAACATTCTTAGAAGAAAATGATGGAATTAAAAGGCAGAAGAAAATGAAGAGCTCCAAGAAGACGCACCCTAAGCCATCAAGAAAATTTGATGCCAACCTCATAATAGATGCAGCTAAATTGCTCCTATCTTGCCTTTTGCCATGGGGAGTGGATAAAGAATTAGATAATCTCTGCATTAAGCATCTTAATATTTGGAAGCTTCAGGGTCCTGTTTCTTTAGGACTTGCTTCCAATGAAGATCACTTCTCATTAATGCTTCCAGGTTGGGATTTATGCAATGCTGAAATCAAAAAAGACTATTCAAAAGTAAATTTATTTTCCAGAAAAGTTTTGGATTTGTCAAATAAATACATATCCACTCTTCCAAATCAGGCTGGGATGCCAAGAAGACTGGAAAATAATTGTGATTCTTTGCAAGAGTCAAACGCTATAGTTTATTTATTGAGAAGAGTATTTTTAGTTAACAAATTAGTTAACATGCCTGTAGAATTGTCATGTGGAATTGACAGGTAAGACATGCCTAGAAATTTTAACGATTCCTATTTGGGACATTAAAAAATTATCATTATTTGCTATATTCAGCTCTCTAGCCTCCCTCCCCTCCTTCCTTCCTTTCTTCCTTTAGATGAAAAATAAATATGCAACCACTCCTTTACTTCAAAACACATTTAAGGAAATATTCCTTTTAATTTGGGGGAATGGAGGATAATTGGGCAATAAATCTGTGTTTTTGAATGTTTTCATTCAAAAAATATCAGCTAGATGCTGAATGATTTGATCAATCGATCCATCGATAGGCACGTAGATTCACATACACCTTGAAATCCATTGTACTTGCTGTGAATTAAGTATGAACAAAGAGCACTAAGTAAATGCCTATGATATATTTTATATATATATATATATATATATATATATATATATATATATATATNATATATATATATATATATATATATATATATATATATATCATTAGGAAAGTAAAATTTGAAAATTTCATACCTCAAATCCCACCATTTCATTTGCACATTGGCATATTAGAAGAGCCCATCAGTAATTAATTTATAGAAAGTATAGTTTAGTAATAATAGCTATTGGTTTTGAGTGTTTAATATTTACTGGTTACCACATAAGCTTTTTACATACATGATTTCAGTTCATATGCATAGCAAAGCTGGGTTATAGACCTATTATTTTGCTCATTATATAGATGAGGATATTGAGGCTTATGGAAAGAAAGTATTAATCCCAAGATTAATTCAGCTCCTTGGGGGCTGATTCAAGACTGAGCACAGTGTTATTCCAGAGCCTGATTAATTACTAAGCTTGGCTCTGCGTGTTTACCCTCTCCAGTTGCTAACATTCAGTATAGTCTTCTCGTAGTTGATATTAGAGGATTTAATTCAATTCATCAAGTGCTTACTCAAGGTGTACTTGGCACTAGCCTACTGAGGAAATATAAATACATTTCTCCTTTGGATGGGAACTCATTTAAATGATAAAGATAATGCACATGAAATGTGCAGAAAACACTGAAGTAAGGTGAAGGAACTAGGACAAACATTTGTAGTGCAGGTAATATAATGGTCAGTGTAAAGAGAGTAATTAAGGTGAGATGAAACCATCAGAAAGCCTTTATAGAAGACATACTGTTTGAACCGCCTGCTACATGGTAGGAAATGGTCCTTGACATTTCTGTTTCTTGATAAGAGCTCAATTTAACAAATATCTGTGCCAGGCACTGTATGGAAGACAGAATTCCTGACAGTGAACCTACAGTCTGGTAGCAAGTCCATATGGATCATGTAGGATGCAGTGTTATGCTTCCTGTCATTATAATGCTTTTATGCTACTGGGTTTTCCATTTTCTGTTCAGTGGCCCTAATAATAAGAGAACAGAGGCTGGTAAATTTCTGTACTTAATTATCCTCCATTTTCTTCTGTTTACATTTTATTTTACTATTTTTTTTAAAATTTTAGATAGGCTTCTTTTACTTTTCTTTCTATTACAAAGAAAGTTGCATAGCGCCCAAAGTATGGTTAAAAAATTGCAGTCATCCTGGAGCCTGAACACCTAGGAATGAATCCTGGTTTTGTTGTTCAGCCATGTGACTTTGGCACTAGTCACTTAGCCCTCTGGGCCTTGCTGTCCTTATTTACAAAATGAGGTGGGTAGGGTAGGTGATCACTTTCTTCAAATTCTTAAAAACTGGGGCTGCTAACAAATTGTATTTGTTTGCCTAACTGTGATCCCACAGAGCAGATAAGAGGCTTAGTTCTTGTTTGCCAGGGGTGTTCCTTCTGAGTTTGTTCCTGATGAAGTACAGGATGTAGAGGATGAGTCTTATGCCCTTTAGGGGAGAGTATGGACTTTCAGCTTATCTTCCATTAAAAGGCCTTAAAATCATTCCCACACATTAGTGAATTCATTACAAAATTCCTCATTAAACAAATGACTGAATGGAGGTGTCAAGGTTCGAGCTGCTTCCCTAAATCAGTCACTTCAGATTTGAGCTGCTGTTAGAGACTACATGTCCTTTTTCAAGGAACCAAAATTATGCGTTTCCTTTGATTATGATCATCTACCTGCCTTACTTTTTGTTGCAGAATCAGTTTTATATAGACTCTGCTGTGATGCATTCCTAAAGATTTACTTATAGTCAGTTGAAATAAAGTTGTCAAAGATTTGCTATTTGGTCTTCTTACGAATTTTTATATATTTCCTGCATGGTCACCTAGAAAGTATTAAACATTTACTTAGGCTTCATACCAAACCCTTCCAATAAATGTGGCCCTTTCACTAACATTTCACTGTATTTGTAAAGGTTGAGACACCCTCATATGCATAATAACTGGGTGTGAGATGTAACTGAATTTTAAGGAAAGAGCTAACTGCCTCTGAGAACACCCTCGGACAGTATCTGGAAGTTGCTGGCTGTGTCACTGGATTAGAGTAAAACCTGCCTTCCTCAGGTCCCGATGGTACCTGGGGAGAATTCTTTGGCCCGTGTCAACATATTAAAATTCAAACATTTATTGCACTAGATATAAATTCCAAGACGTACAGTAACAAGTCCCTTTCTGCACAAGTGGGTCACAAGGTAATTCTGGCAAACTAGGATTCACAATTCAGTTGGGATTAGATTTTCGGTAAGTGCAACGCGGGGGAATAGGATTCATCAAAGAGATTAATGTGGAAGACATTGCTTAAAATCTATGTTCACTTCCCAAATTTGTGAAAATGGTCATGCACTCATATCTTTATTTCTCAAAATATTTTTCACACATCTTTAATAATATTCATTAAATCTTTTTTTGTCAACAGTTCTTTCAAAATGGAATCTCTGCATAACAAGGTGAAAAGTCCTGGGAATGATATTTTGCATATTTCAAGCTTCTACAGTTACTTACGAAATGGTAAAGAAGTTACAGATATATTCTGACTTTTTATTACTTCTATGACATAAAATAACTAATATTTCTATAACTGGATAGCATACTACAATTTAGAATGAGCAGTGTGTCTATTTATTGTTTGACTTTGGATTTTACATGGTTATAATTTTACATTCTGCCAAAATTGAAATATATATGAATTTTTTATTAAAATAAATAACAAGACATGTACTGTTGATGGATTGCATCAAATGATCTTTGAAATGCCTCAAAGTCTGAAACTTTCTGAAAGTCTGAAATATTTAGATATTAAATTGAGGTCATAAATGATTTATGGGGAAGTTTATTGCATTGATATCCTTATTTCCAAATAAGCAATTTTTACATTAGAGAATTTTAGAGCTATTTCAGAAGGTCATATAACAGTCCTTGAAATCTTCTGAGTGACAGTCTTGGTGTTTAGATTTTCTTTTGATGCCAAATGGCTAATTCATCCTCCAAACCTACTTCTCCAAATCTATAACATCAGTAAATGGCAATTGGATCCTCCCAGTTGTTAAGGCCAAGAACTTTGGTGTCATCATTACTTTCCCCTTTCTCTCATGCCACACATCCAATCTTTTAGTAATAATGTCCATTCTACCTTCAGAATATATCCCAGATTCTGACCGCTTCTTGCCACTACACAACCACCCTTCTTGAACCTTAATCCCCCCTTGGCTAGATGACTACAGAAAGCTCCTAACCACCTCTCTGCTTCTATGTTTGGTTCCCACACTCTATTCCCAACCAAGCAACCAGAGTGATCTATTCAAAACCAAATCAGAAGAACATCATGCTTCTGCTTAAAAACTTTTCAGTGTCACCTGGATAAAAGCCATAGTGCTTAGGATAGCTCATAAGTCCGTGTCACCACCTGGTTCTACCTATGTCATTGTACACCCTCCCCCAGCCCCCGCAATCTGATCTCATCTCTTTGTACTCATCCCCTGCTTCTAAAGGCTAGGTATGTTGGCCTTTTTACTTTTACCCAAACATGACAGACAGGTCTTAGGGCTTTTGCACTGGCTCTTTTCTCTGCCTGGTATTCTGTTTCCCCAAATTCCACAGAAGTCAGCCTGCTGCCCCCCACGTCCACCCTGTATTCTTCAGTTCTTGCACAAATGCCATTTCATCAATGAAGGTATCCTCCCTTCTCCCAGCACACCCACCCCTTTCCCTGTATTACTGCTTTCCACAATCCTTTTCACTATCTGATATACCATATATAATTTTTCTCATTTGCCATCTACCTCCTGCTAGTAAAATGTAAGCTCCATGTTTTGAGGGTTTTGTTTTTGTTTGTTTTTGTTTTCAATGACAGTTTTATGCAGCACTATGTTCTCAGTTCCTACAACAATGCCTGAAAAGAATTAGGGAAATATTTTTGGATTAATGGATGAATAGTGAATAGAACAACAGTTTTGGAGAGAGGCAGGTTCAAAACCCAGTTCTGCCACTTACTACTTATGTAACTTTGGGCATGTCTTTTACTCTTTTAAAAGTTGCATTTACTACATTTGTAAAATGGGAATAAGTTTCCAGACTCCATGTGCATGCTGCCTCCAAAGTTGTGCAGTATATAATCAATACATTAGGATAACCGGAACAACAGTACATAGGGCCCTCTCAGAGCTATTGAAAAGAATATTTGGATGTTTAAAAGTGGAAGTTTATTAGTAGCTTCCAAATACTGAGTGCCTAGTATGTTCAAAGAACTGTGCTAATGATTTTACGTATATTGTCTGAATTAATATATAAATGACCTTGCACAGGAGAAACTATCTCTGTTTTACCCTTAGAAAAATCGGGGCTCAGGGAAGTTAGAAGACTTACTCATAGTCATAAGCAGACGGGTCAGGATTCCAATCCAACTCTGATTCCAAACCCCTTGCTCCTTCTATAATATGAGGCCATGTCTCACATTTATGATTATAAGTAGTGTCTCCCTGTATGGCTCCCGTCTGGGTCAGCTGCCCTCCCTTTAGCTAGTGGTCCTTATTAGGGCATTTATCCTCATTTTCATTTTTTATAACATTGAAAACAGGATTAGAATTGAAGGCATAATATAGATGGTTTCTTCAGAGACCGAGAGAATTGCTACCCAGAGCCTTTTCCTATAGCTGCCCCAACCAAAGCAGCCTGAGCAACTACTGTTATTACTAATTATTAATAGTTTCCCTTATGTTAAGAGTTGGCATTTATAGCATGTAAAATCCAGTTAGGTACTAAGAAAATGTGATTTTGTATTTTAATAATTGGAAGATTAGCGGTAAAGGGAAAGGAGAGGTTCACTTCATACTATTCTATAAAGTCAAAGCCTAAAGAATAAAACAATACTCTGAGGTACTCATTCTAAAGGGTTGACAGAAACTTTGCCAACAGGAATGGTGACTAAGTAATATTGGTAAACCTGGGATGGTTTCTTTTTATCTTCCCCCCTTAAGTTGCAATTAATTCTTTAACTCACTGACGTTGCCAAGAAAAGTTGGCTCTCATTTCTACCTCATATTAAAATTTAACATCAAATTGAAGTATGCTGTGAAGTGCCCCATGATGCCAGTAAGTAGTTAGAGTTGAGACCAAGACTTACCTTTGATGGTCGAGTAACAAGGTCGGCAAAACGAGAGAGGAAGAAAGGAGAGAGATCAAAAGAAAATTTTCTCTTACCTGCTGTGCTCATGAAGAAATGGAAAATATGACTTCAAAATCGTAGTGCTCTATCTTACATGTTTTATGCACTGATGGTGGTCATTTCAAATTCACATTATATGTTCCTTTAGGAAAAAAATGATATTAATGAGCCAGATGTTTCTTATGTATTTCTTTCATGTTCTCAGTTTACATTATATCCAATACCTTCTAACACACCTCCCTTGATCACTAATGTGATACACACACACACACACACACACACACACACACACATCTAGTAATATAGTAAATGGTGATTCGATGAAATACATATTGGACTAATACTAACTTAAATAGTTGATACCAGGATTTGAAACTATATTAATACATTAATTTAAATAGACAATTACAGTCATTTTCCCTCCAGTGCAAGCCCTGGTCATTCTTTCTTAGCTCATTCCCAGGATCTGGCAACTAGATAATATATTTTATTCATCAGAAAGCCTTAATTCATTGATTTTTTTCACTTGGATGATAATATGTACATTTTCAATTAATGAAAAGGCACTTATTAAGTGCTTTTTTGTGTAGGAACCTGCGGGGCACTCTATGGATCAATTTAAATAAAACAAGCCCCAGCTCACTCTTGAAATTTCACGCTGAACATTAAGGCAAATAGATAGAAAGGACATACAAGAGGGCAGATTTAAAAGAAACAATACATAACAAAATGAGGCAAATTAAAACATAAGTGCTATACCTATTGATCAGAGTAACATGGCTGAGTAAGGACAAATCAAAGGAAGTCTTTTTCTGTGTGATGGATGCAATGTACCATTTTAAGACCTATTTGTATGAGGAAGGCATTGTAAAATTTGGTGACCTGTTTTGGGTGAGAATATTAGTCATTGCTTTTTGTTGGCAAAAAAAAAGTCCAAAGGTAGGCTTAAGGTGTAGTGATGGATTTGATTTAATTTGAGTACATATTAGTATAATTGTTAGAAATACATATAAATTAGTTAATGATTTTCGACACTGGCTATACATGAAAATCATCTGAGGTACTTTTACAAAGTATTAATGCCTGCCCCAACCTCTCCCTGAGACCTATTAAATCAGAATCTCCGGAAGATAGAACCTGGGCATTAATGTTTGTGAAAAAAATCTCCCTGGTGATTCCAATGTGCAGCTGGAGTTAGGATCCATTGGGGTGCATCCTTTTTTAATACTTTCAAGACATAAACATGTTCTATATATTTCTAGGTAAGAATGAATCCCATATACCTGAAGCTGATATGTCACTTTTGAAGCTAATTTCCTGTTGGAGAGACCAGTCTGTGCAGGTATGACACAGTTCGTATTCTTGAAATTATGCAAGAGTTTCTTGCTACTGAGGTTTACTCATACTCCCCTTTACTTGAGAGAACAAGTAAGTAGGTACTCCTGTCCTCACAAAATGTCCTCCCAGGGTATTTCATTTAATAGGACTAATGCAGAGACTAATAATGAGGCGGAAAGTAGAAAATAACATATAGAAGGATGCACCAAGTTAGCAGGTATGAATAGAGGGCCTTGAGGAAGGGATTTTCATGTTGTTATTGCTAACATTGCCCATTAAGGTTCTAGTTTGTGGTAGAATTGTCTATTATTTTATTTCAAAATGTGCCATGAAACAAAAGTCCCTAGGCTTGGGAATTCGGTGTGTGTAACTACAATAGAATCATTTTTCTATCCTGAGAATGGTTCATCTGTTGGCCGATTTAGAGGGTTGGTTTCCTCAATGCCCAATTTAAGTCCTTCCTCTTTTCAGGTCCTAAAAGCTAAGTGTGTAACTTTGCACATTGTGCAATAAGTGTATTTTCATTGATTAGATGAGTATTTATTGGAACTTTATTCTCCTTTATGAGCTTAATGAATGTAAAATTTGCAAGGTGAGAACAGCAGTAACTCCAATTACAAATAATTATTTTTGGTTACAGGGAAACAAAGAACTGTAGGTTGACACCATAAAACCAGATAAACACAATTAGAATGGCTATTGAAACTTATTACCATGGCCTACAAGTGTCTACATGATATGCCCCTAGCCTAACCTCTTCACTCATCATTCTCCTTCCTGTTTGTGATATTAACCACATTGACCTTTTTATTTCCAGAATACACAGCGCTCATTTCCACATCAGGACCTTACTGTTCTCCTGGGCAGGAATTCTCATTTTTCCATGCATCATTTGGGTCTTTGCTCAAAAGCCAACTCCTCAGGAAACTTCCCTGATCACTCCATCTAATATTGCTACCGTACCCCCTCCCACCCCATGTCTTCAGTCACCATTACATTACCCAGTGTTATTTTCTTTGTTGTGCTTGCTTTTAATAGAAATTATACCATTTGCTCTTTTGCTTGCTTATCTTATGTCTTCTCACTGTTAATAGAAGCTTGCTGAGAGCAAGGACTTGGTCTCACTCACCTCTCTGACCAGAAAATGCCCAGAAAAGCAGTAGTGACAGTAGCCAGTCAATCAATAAATATTTAATGAGTGAATGAATAGTTATGCAAAAAGCCTCTGTGATAATGAAATGATAGTTAGTACATGCTGACTTTACCAGCATATTAGCAATCATGCTAAAAGAGTCTATTAGAAGTGAGATTTTTTTTCCCCCCAGTAGTCAAACAACTCCTCAATGGGGAAAACAATCCTTAAGGAAAAGAATTCAACAGAACATTTATCCTGAATTACTCTAAGTAAAAATCTTTCGTAGTTGTTCATTTGACCTTTGAAGAAGCTTTAATGTGGTTCGGACATGTTTGCACTAAGGGGTCTTTAAGGTTCTGTGATTCTGTGACCTTGTACATGATGCTGGCAGCATGTGTACATGTTACCTGAGCATTTATTCCTGGCTCTAAAGGAAGTCCAAGCTTCAGTGTTCTCCTCTTACCTCTGTCACTAACCTGAGGAATGCCTCTGGAAGATAGGTTTAACTTGATTATTTATTTTGTTCATGTGTTAAGTGAGAAAATGAGAATTCCTAGGCCCTGAATTCAAGAACAGCAGAGACTTTTGCAAGTATCCATCCATTTAAATGCTTCATTAACCAATCCTCAAATTCTTAATAATGACGTTCATTTAAGCAGTTAGTCAAATCATGTTTCCTGAATCTACTTTTTAATGTATTCCAGGAGCACTAGGTAGTAATGGAATGCTACTGTAAAGTACAGTAAAATCCAATTTTAGAAATTGAAGGGTGTTATCTTTAAGGGAGGGGGTAAAAACGAGTTAATTTTACAGATGAATGAGTTTGTCTGGCGATTGTCTCAGTTGCTTCTCATACATGAAACATGCCCAACATAGAGCTAAATACTGGAAAAGCAACAGCAAGGTATTGGGGTTGCTAATTTTCATGTTTCTGAAGCTGCACTAAAGTTCTTGGGATTTTATAATCTAACACTAGTGGGTGAAATATGACATCTAGGCCACCAGGGAGAAGTGTTGCTTTTCCAGGAGATGTTGCAAAAACATGAAAGGCCAGTGTGAGCCCGAGTGTTGGGAAAATGCTTTTATACAAGAAAAATCTGGACATTGGAACTACAAGCAGGCCTTGGGGGCTCTTATGAGTCTTCATAATGTTCTTTGCTATGTTACAGCAAAGTACTTTGCTCTTTCAAGGTGTTAGTAGAAAACCATGGAAACTTTTAGCTTGCCTATGGCACAGGAATACGTCTAGTAATAAGCATATGGCCCAGATGTGTGACTATCTCTTTCTAGCCAATGGATTTTTAAACCTTATTTTGAATCACTGCATATTCCTTCATAAGAGTGTAATACTTTGCATATCTGTATTTTCAGAGAAGCTTATTTAAATGCATTTGGAAGATAGCTTTATAGCCATGGTGCTTTCAATTCTATCTCATTATTAAAAATCACAAAATTATATATAACATATCATCTAAATTTTTTATAGTTTGTTGGGGTAAATTTTATTCCTGCCATCTGCAAAATTTATCTACTATATTTATCTGCTGGAGAAACTAAGTATTCATGGTTAGAAATTATCAATAAATTCTACTTTCCACAGTTTATATTTTTAAAGTGTGCAGAATGTATTTCAATTCTATTAGTATTTATTAGTGCCCACGGTATACCAGATACTGTGCTAAAGTTATTACCTGCTTATAAGATGTACCATTTCTCTGTGAATTGGAGCCATGTTCTATTGATTTCACACTGAATATAAAGTGTGTATTTTGAGTCTATGTCCAATGGGCATGTGCCATTCAGTATTCACTTTTAAGTTTTGTGGCTCTGAGTATCCTACTTATTATGGTTAATATGTTTTATTCTGTTATTTTTGCCTCCTCTTGTTTTTCAATGATATATTTATTATTCTTATAATATGCATCTGTAGTGACAAATATGTCAAAAAGCCTCCGAATTCAACAGTTTAAAAATGTGGTTCTGATATATAAATCTAATAATTAGAAATGTTAGATGAAATTGCATAAATCCCTGTCTATTTTTAAGAAAGAATATTGATTCAAGTTACTATAGACTACTAGGATATATCCAGTGGGATAGAGGACTTTGTCAATCCCACTTGTGGTGTTCCTCAGAGGTGATAATGATTCCAGTGTGAGAAGGCAGCCATAACCCATGTGGGCATATGGCCAAACTGCTCATTCTGAGGGATCGACCATAATCTGGACATGCCACGGGTCTGAGGATATCCTCCAATATCCTCCTGATTTATAGTTATAGCCAGAAGCAAATTTCACATAGGATTCTGTGAATGGAGGCTCTCATCCTAGCTTCTCTCGTATCACAGGCTTTGTTTTATAAATGAGGACATGAAGTCCCAGAGTAGTATGTGAACTCATCAAAGGTTGCATTTGCAGCTACTGTCATAGTTGGATCTGAAACTCAGGCCTTCTCATTTGTGAGTCAGAGCCCTTTTTACCACATCACCCATATCCTGGAAGCAGTGCTGCCAAATAAAATGTGTGACAAAATTAAAACAAAATAAATTCAGCAATATAAAATTGTTCATGAATAATATAGTTTGTCCCATCAAATGCTATACATAAATAAACATGATTGACCTATATTGTGATATAAACTAGTGTATGTTGGTAAACATTATATCTAATAGCTAAGGTATCATATCATCATGGTAGATATTATTAGGGATGATTTAACAGTATCATGCTATGTAGAACTATATGTTACATCCGTGGTATGAAATAGCTGACACAGTGTCCAGTATCTCATCACATGATATACAAAAGTAAGCATTGTACACCTGTATCATGACAGGCAGTACTAAAATATCAGTAGATGTGGTGTACAGTAGTAAAGTCCCTTCATTCATTAGCCTTTTTTCACAACCTAACCATGAATTTGAGTATGAGCATGGGAGTGGACAGGAACACGGCTATGATCAGTGATCAGAAAGCTGCTCTGATACTTTTGGGAAGCTTCCTACATTGAAGATCAAGGGCCCAGCTCCTTTTGGCCCACTAGTTCAGTAAGCATCTGCCGTCAGCATCAGTTCTCTGAATGCCCTTGGAGCCTAAAAGTCTCACATTGGTACCATGACACATAAAAGAAATGAATATTAATATTTACGTGAATACATGTCCTGGTTTTGGCATCAGCTTCTCTACCTCACCAATCTCGGTTGATGTTGTCCCAAAGCCCAAGCTCTAGGAATCCTACAGATAAACTGGGGATAATGCAGAGGGGACAATGGTCATTGTGGAACATGAGTCATCTTGACAAAGGGTGAGCTTCAGAGGGGAAAAGGAGCAGGTATTCACATGGGGCAATAGGAAAGGTTTAACTGTCAGAGAAGGATAATGGGTAGATGCCCCAAGTTCACCCAGATCAGTGGTGCCCTTCCTTTTCTTTCACTGATTTAGCACTTGGCTTTCCTTGAACCTAACTCCTGGACCTTGTCTAATCTCTTACCTCATCACTCAGGTAAGGGAACAGAATCTTGGGAGGGCATATGCTATTAACACAAAGGACACAGAAGCAAGGTTCAGAAGGCTTGTCCACCAGGTCTGTGTGGAATTTGGGATGTCATGTCTTAGGTTCTTCATTTTTAAAATGAAGACATTTGATTGGGTGCCCTCTAACAAGCATCCCCTTCCCCCTACACTCAACCACAAGTCCTTGACTAGGTAGGTAGGTAACATAATTGGCAGGCACATTTTCCTGTATTTTGAGCTATATAAAGCCACAAACACATACACACAGTTTAGTGAGATTTATTATTAAAGTCTTATCTTTAACCTTTTGTATTAAACCTAGGTTAAATAATGTGTTTTCAGCTAAATAGTGCTTTAGAGCTAGATGTTTGAGGAGCTAAACTTGTCTTTAAGAATAATATGATATATTCAAATTATTTTTCTTTATCATCCGGTAGAAATGAAAATATCTTAGGAGAAAGTATTCCTTTCAACTTTCCTTTTAGAATCTCTTGTGTTTACAAAAGAACAGCATGATGGTTTGGGTGCCATTTTTCAGTATTTACATTTCAATTATTTCAGATGCTAATTCTAGTGGAATGGAACATTGCAACTTATGTGAAACCTATTCAAGTAAAAATTCCAGGCTCTGGGTTTTGTGCAAGACCCCAAACATTTGTAATAATTAAAAAAATAATTCATACAAAACCACAAAACTTAACAGGTAACTGAAGCAATACAAGCTGTTCTCTTGGCGGAAGTTCAACAGCACATGAAGACCTTGAGAAAAATACCAATCAACAGTCAACCAGAGTCCAAGACTGAGAATGGTAACTATGAGATGATACAGATGCGGCCAAAGATGGAACGGACCGAGGAGATAGAGTTACAATGTATTACTGACAATTTGCCTCCGCAAAGTAAGTGCAAAATTCATTGGCATGCTCTTTCATCAGAATTTTTTTTACTATTTAGAATGTGTTAAGAATGAGTTCACAAAATATCATTTCTGCAAAAACCAAGCCAAGTGCCCTACTTCTGACCTATTCTATCAATTTCCTCTTATAATTCTCAAGTTTTTAAAGAACTTCTAAATTCTATTATAGTATTTTCCAAAAGAAAAACATATTACTTATAAAAAATGTTTTGAAGTTAAGTGATTAAAAATGAAAACAGGATTAACAGTAGTGTCTTAATGGGATATATACATTATAAGGATACAGCGATAACAGTGGGTCCTAAGTTTGTTTTCATTTGGTACCCTGTTAATAGCCATGTGCTTGTGTTTTCTTTTTGGGGAATAAGAGACTAGTACAAACTAAAATTAAACTGGTTTATAGTTGGACCACTTGATTTTATAATACATTTTATCATTGTAACTTTACAATGATAATATGTATGGTTTATGGCTATCAAATAAATCTAAATTTCTGCTGTAAAATGTTAACTAATTTTTCAGACATTAGCTGTGACTTAAAAAATAAGCAAATGAACAATAGTAAAAAAACATAAGTACAAATTTGATTTTTAAATTTATTGATAAGCTTTTGATGAATAAATTGATGTTTATATGATTAAATGTATATTTTTGTCAGGAAAACGTGACACATTTACATGCTCCAGGTTATTAAAAAATTGTTAGGTACTCAAAAAGAGATTTTATTTATTTGGCACAGAGAAATGTTGCTATATTTAAAATGTTAAATCTTAGAAGAGATGTCATTCTTAAAAATGTATTCTATTTATTTCTTCTTATTATTTTTATAAGATTACTGATTGGAGGGTACTATGTAGTGAGAGAGGATACGAAGCAGGAAAAGTCTTCTACAGTGAAGGCCAAAAATCAAAATAGAATTTTTTCTGATGCCAAGATAGTTACTGAGGATGACACATTCAGCAAGTAATTTGATAAAGCTTGATGGTGATTTCAAGTCATTTGTTTGTTTGTTGTCCAGAAATTAGCTTTAATATTCCAGAAAAATCATCCACTTACTTGAAGGAGCTCCTTTTTGGTCATATCACATAATTGTAGTTGTATTACACATATCAAGCAAGAAGTAGAAAGACTCCTTTTTAAATTAATTTTCAATGACTACATTTGAGTCCTTCATTCATTTGGAGAGATATCCATAGTGTCATTAATAAGAACTATTGATACTATGAATGTAATCTTACTATGACAAAAGACATCCAGATTTCAGGTTTAGATATTAACTATCTTTTGATATTGTTGAAATGATCCTTTGCCAACGTTAAAAGAAAATTTAGGGTTAGTCTGTGATAAGAATTAGAACACAAAAATACTAAAGCTACTTTATATGTTGGTAGATGAAATTTAGACTATTTTGTTTAAAATAAATATAACATATTCACAAAATGCTGAACATATTTTTTGGTGGGGGAAATACTACCTGTAGGAAAATATTAGCTGCAATAAAATGGGAAACACATAGCATGCACTGAAGATGAAAATTTCCAAGCAATATTATGTTGGATGTTAACATTGCCCTTTTCCCACCCTTTGGAAAAGATTTATTATTATTATTATTATTTTTATTATTATTATTAAACTATTCAGAGGAACTTAGAAAAATGACAAAGAAAGCTTTAGACCTTTATTTCAGTGGTATATACTGCATTACTTGATGGAATTTTTAAAAATAAATGAAAAAAGGTGTTTTATTCATTTAAAACATCCTGATTCAAAAGTTAAGGAGACAGTGTAGGTCCTATTCACTGGATGTGATTATTCCTCAAATTTTATAGACAAATTTACTTGCCCTAGTGTATATTATTTATCAAGTGTTCTTTATATTATTTATCAAGTATTCTTATGATACATGGTTTACGTTGTTTAATTTTATCAGGTCCTTGCTCGTTTATCCTCTGTGAGCCCCCCTTTATCCCCTTTGTTTTTTTTTTAATATTTTTATTCTTAATTTCTTTTATTCTTTCTTGGTTTCTTGGTTACTTGATGCATCCTATTTGTTAATCATTTGGAAAGTAACAGATGATGGTTTTATTATGCACAGACATTCACGAACTTCTTTATGCCAGGGCATAGTATATTTGGTTTATTAACATTATAGTAATATGGCAATGATAAAGAAAAAATAATAATAAGAAGAATTATTGTGTTCTTAGTGCACTTCAACACTATGCTAAGCACTTTAGGAATATCTCACTTTTCCCTTAATTCTTACATAATTCCCATGAACCCTAAGTCTCTGTTTTCAACATTTGAGTCATTTGTGTGTGTTCATGTCCATGTTCATGGAAATGAAGTTTCAAAGTACAGCTGAAAGAACAACTTTGAGAACGAGAGATTCCCATAGCACCCGCTCCCAAGGCTTATCCTGAGAAACTGCCCCTGTGATTTTTTTAGTTTGACTCCCTACTTATATATCTTTCTCATATACATTAAAATAAATAGCATTTGACTACCATAACAGCGATCTCGAATACCACCGGTGGTGGATAGCTTGCACTTTGAGACATGCTTCCTATTACTGTCCCATTTTTTTAGTGAATAAACTAGGACTTAAAAGAGGTTATGTGCCTTTCCTATGGTCAAAAAATTACTAAAAACAGGGCCACAAACTCAGATATTCTCTTAAACACTGTGTTCTTATCCAGTAAACTGCATTTTCCATACTGGCAGCTTGAAGGAAATTCGCTCTAAATCAGCTTGATCTGAAAATTGAATAATTTATTGAGTGGTTTTCTTAGATTTTTATTCCTCTCTCATAAATCATACTTTCTATTACCAAAGAAAATGCAGAGAGTTCAATCATTGCCATTCAGCCCTTATAATAAAGAAAATCACCAGGTTTCTTGAACTATTTGTACATGAGATGAATCTACAAAGCAATGAAAATCAAGTGAAATGAGGGTTGAAGCATAATGTGTGTTCGAACTTTATAATGTTGTATCTTATTTCTTTTCAGTGTTTTCACTTGCTACAATTCACAGCACGTATTTATTTGAGGTCTTAATATTTGTGTATTGGTATTTTATGGGAGAGTGGTAGATTTTTATCTCAGTTTACATTTTTATAATGAATACATTGCTATCTTTCTTAAATCTCTTTAATAAGAAATTGTACAATTAACACTCACATTTGAGACTAAGATTCATTGCTATAAAACCAGCAGTGGTTTCTTTTATTAAAATACATTTGAAAGTTATTTTCCTTTATTTTTTTTAATGTTATTTGGAACAGTTTAAACAAGTGCTTTAAATTTTTCCATTAAATAAATTGGTTTAAATAGAAATGGAGGCTTTGTAGATAAAACTGTCACCTTGGAATTATTAGCTGAATTTAAATTCACGTTAAACTGTGGTTGTGAAGATGATGCATCGTATATGGGTATTGCAAATAATCTTTATTACATGTGTCGTTTTCAAAGACTTAGCTACAAAATTAAATAATGAAAATGTGCTCTTTGTTTAAATAAAACCATGCCTTTGTAGTAAATCAAGGAAATAAACAGCAATTCAGTAGAAAAGTTTTGTGGCCCTGGTGGCCATCAGCAGAAGGACTGGCTTGGGACTGGTTTTCTCTGCCTGCTGAATTTCTCAGAAGGAAATCTGTCTAGTTATGGAAAGACTTTGATACATAGTTGGCTACCTCACAAGGAAACTCTTTTTTGACTCTTCAGTTGTAGTAAATGCATTTTCCACCATCCCCTGTGAGGTGTCCAGGCTAAGTGAGAAGACCACAGAAGTCATTTAGGAAAGGTCTGCATGATACAAGTGAGCAAGGAGCAGAGAAGTAAGGGGGTGTGGGGGGAGTGTATCATAGAAGGCCTTGTATCTCATAGTGAGGTCTTTGGCTTTCTTGCTGAGATGGGAAACCATTGGAGCAGACAAATGGCACATATTTTAACGGGATCACATTGCCTGAGGTCCAGGGGCCAAGGACAGAAGCAGGGAGACCAGTTGGGAGGCCATTATGCTAATCCAAATGATGACAACTTGGAACCAATATGGTGGCATGGATGAAGAAGGTGAAGAGGGATCAGATTCTGAATGTATTTTGAAGGTATGATGACAGTATTTGCTGATGGATTAGATATGGAGGAGGAAGATAATGAAAATGTATACTTATATTTTTCAAACAAAAAAGTATTTGATACATGGAATGACCCTGATGTTCTGACTTAATTCCTATGTCAGGTAACACAGTGTTGCATATGGTATTCCAATATTCTGAAGGAAGTGTGGAAGACCCACCTTACAGAAGGCTGCCTTTGCTGTGTTCAGTGTCAAGTGTCCCTGCTTAGATGGCCTACAGATTTTATTTTATAGTATTAACTAAACTAACCCTCAGTAAATGGGCCAGAGTTTTCTGCCAAGAAACTGTAGATCGAAGACAATACTAATAATGCAAGCTTAAGTAAATACGTAAATGGCATTGCCAAATGAGTATTAAGCTACATCAGGAGATATGTATGTGTGTATATTTGTATGTGTGTGCTAATGTTTTTTCTTTTGAAACTTCTATTTTTGTGTATACTTTATATACATAATGTTGATATACTAGGAGCATGTATATTATTTATAAGCAAACATGTATGTATTGGTGATGCATACTTCAGGGCTTTTCTTTGTTGTGTTCTGCAAGAAAGTATCCCAACCACAGCATTTGGGTGGATTGAGCTAAGTAAGCAGATGTGATAAGCTTTTGGTTATGCAGGGTATTAACTTGATATTCTATATCATACATTGTGCTGTCTCTGAAACTTTAAATAAATCTTTATGCATCATATTTCTATATCACTCCTCTATGCCTCTCTGCCCTGATCTAAGAGTTGGGGATACCACAGAGAACTAATTGAAAATCTCCAGTTGAAGAAACAAACTAGCATCAAGGTAACCATAAGTGTCAGGTGCCACAGAAGAGGCTACAGGAGCTTAG